TTTGTGGTTTTTGGTTCTTGGCTTTCAAGAGTACAAAGGTAACGACTTTCTTTCAACCAATTTTTTTTCTTAAATTGATTTCATTTTGTATTAATTTTCTTATAACGTTTTCCATCCATCTGTACAGAATGCCAAGAAGGCTCCAAATGTTTGATTTCAATTAAACCGTTTTCTGTTTTGCCCCCTAAATTCAAGGTAATAGATCGTCTCCTCCATTGCTTCTGTATTTCCTTTATTGCATTAGATTTCTGACTTCACCACCGAATGGTGTTGGTTTTGGGATTTGATTAATTAGGCCTTTTGTTGTTTTTTGTTATTCTCGATCATTATCTTCCTTGCATGTGATCATCGTTGCAGAGTGCCAGAGTGGGTTTGGGAGGAAGGTTGAGGAACAAACCGGTAATTTGGTATGGGTAACTCGAATAGAACACGGTTTGTTTTTAAAAATTCAGATTATGTAATAAGAGCAACATCATTTTTGTTATGCTAATTTTTTCAAGTAAGTAACGTTTACGTTCTATTTTAATTACTTAGGGCGTGTTTGACACGAAGCTTTTGGAAGCGTTTGAGATCTTCTAGCTTTTAGCTTTTGACAAAACGCTCTAGTTTAAACAAAAAGCTTCGTTTGGCGGTACGAGCGTTTAGCTTTTAGTTTAAACAAAACACTTCAATTCTAAAAGCTACTTCATGTAGCGTTTACCAAAACGCTACTGAGCTTTTGAAATCAATTTCTATAATTACCCTTAAAAATATATTTATTTATTTATTTATTTTTAATCAATTGGCCTTTTATGTAATTTCATATATTTCAAAAGCTTGCAGCTATTTTTGCCAAACATTCATATAACAAATAAAAATTACAGTTTTCCGCTACCAGCTACCCGCTAGGCCGCTACACGCTACCCGCTAACAGCTAACCGCTACCCGCTAACAGCTAACAACTACTTTTGCCAAACACGCCCTTAGACAATTTCTTGGTGGCTGCAGGTGGTAGCTTTAGGTTGTAATAATTGTTGCTTATTGGAATGCATATATTACGTGTTTGATGAAATGCCTCTCTTAAATGACTCTGAATTTTTATAAGATATCAGTGATAAATTCAATCAATGGCTTCCGAATCAAATGAATTGGGCTCCCAAGTACAACTTATGATAAAGAAACTAATAGCTATTTCATGCAACAAAGGGTACTCAATCAAAATGTTTTCACATGTGAATATTGGACCTTGACCTTGGGGATGAATTAGGGTATGAAACCAAGAATAATATTCATTATCCAACATTTTATCAGCGATTAAAGAGATTAATCCGTTGCAAAGATATCATCATAATCAATAAGTTTATCATGTGTTGATGATTGATGTGCTTAGCTAGCAAATGTGTTTTGAATTGATTCAAACCCCATATGATTCCTTTTTGTCAAGAACAAAAGAATAGTTGAATCATTATTCACTAACTACATGCTTTCTTCAGCAGATGTATCGAATAAAAGATCCAAAAGTTAGTCTCTTGATTTCTATTGGGAATAAATCAAATCCAAATTTGGTATTTCCATGTACTATATGCTTTCCCTGTTTATTTCTACTGCTATTATTAAAGATACATGAAAGATAGAAATCTGAGAATGATCATCTACATTAGGAAAAGAAAGAAGTTGAATTTTCTTCTTGTTTATTGCCTCATTTCTTATTGCAGATTAGTCAGATTTCTATCTTTCATGTATCTTTAAACCCTACTTATAATATTGATATAACAGTTGATATGTTGTTATAAAGATTGATGACACTTACAAGGCATGTGAGAGATTTACACTGCTAAATGTTGCATTTATGTTGTATAGTTGGCCTCTACACGCTGAATAATCAAATTCCTACTTGATATGTTGTTATATCATGATTGACTCCTCGTATTTTCACTTTATTTTTTATCACATGAGTGTTTATAATAGTTAAAATATTGGATTATGTGGTACATGTGTGTATATACGCTTATTTCCCATTATAATTGTAAAGTTGGTCTTTAATTCTTGAAGCACATACTCGTTTATGTGTGTTTGGTTCTGTTTTTCCTTATTAAAATGTACATCACATTAAGGCTAGTTTAATTAGCATCCCTACAACATATGTATAATTTAGGGGTGTTAATTAGGGCTGTCAAAATTGTATCACGGAAAACCAACCAACATGCTACCAACTGAACCAAAAAAGTTGGTAGCCAATATATTTGGTAGCCAACATGTTTGGTTGGTAGTACCGTACCAATTGAACAATCT